CAGGGCCCAGAGCGGGGCTACTCCCCGGGAGACAGGGCTGCGGTGACAAAGCTCCTCAGTGCTGTGCCCTATCTCGCCTGGCTGTCCTGATGCCTGGCGCTCAGATCAGATCTGCCCTCCTGACCCAGCCTGGCCCAGCAGGCCTGCCTGCATCAGGGCCTTGGGACAGAAGGCCGGCCCTCCCCGTCACCCCACCCACTCACAGCCCTCACCTTAGGTGGGGCCCTCAGAGGTAAATAATAGGCCTGCCCAGGGAGCTGGCAAAGCAAACATATTAGCACATTGTCATCTCGCTGAAGCTAATACCATGGGCAGTGCTGGGGGGAGGGGCTGGCAACCCAGCTGGTGATGCCTTGCCACGGCAGTCTCCTGCCCCACACAGCCAAAGGCCACGGGCCCCATCCTGGAGCAGCCTCGTGGATGCAGGGATGTCCCCAGCTGGTGGTAGGGGGGCTCTCTTCCTCCCCTGGACCCCTTGTCCAGGAGGAGTCTTCTTCCAGGGCAGGCACTGTGATCTGAATGCAGGCCAGGGAGGAACATGGGGCCAGCTGCCCCCCCAGCAAGGTCTGACGTGCGTGAGAGCCCCAGGAGAGACTGGGAGACTTGGCCTTTCCCTTTGGGCTTGAAGAACAGATCAGAGCTCTCACAAACAGGGTGCGAAGGGAACTGAGAAGTGAAAGACTAGCCACAGGGTGGGAGTTCCCTCAGGATTCAGCTGGGGGGCAGAGTACCCACATACCGCTTCTCGCCCCAGAGCGTCTGCAGGCCCTGTCATGTGGAATCTCAGGTCTGGAAGGTCCAGGGAAGAGTTTTTCCCGTGTGCCAGTGCCCATTGGCCATGCCGGCTGGTCTGTTTCCACAGGACCCCCTTCCCAGGATGGAGATGCGGGCCGTGGTACCTGCTAACGCAGGGTCCTTGCCTTGGGGGCAGAGATGGGGCCCCTTTCAGGCCTCAGTCCCAGACACTGGGCAGACTGGGCTCCACAGGGCCAGGGGCCCTCAGCCCTGGCCTCTCATCAGGATCCATCAGGGAACTTGGCAAAGGCCCAGTGCCCAAACCCCACCCTAGACCAGTTAACTGCTCAGGGTGTCTGAGGGTGAAGCCCAGGCACAGGTATTTGTCTTAATAAAAGTCTATTGGAATCTAGGTGATTCCTACGTGCAGTCAGCATTGAGGACCACTGCATGGGCAGATGATGGTGTTATTCTTGTTCTTCTCTTGGGGAAAAGCCGTGAGCTGTGAACCTTAGTGTTGCTTCTCCAATGTTTCTTTCCCATCATGCCTCTCTCTTTTCCCTTAGTTTATGATCCTAAAACATGATTTGTATTTCTTTTGTCTTTGCTATTCAGTTCTGTTGAGCTGATATTTTTTTATAGTAGTCTTGGTCTCTCTCCTTTTATACTGCCTTTCATGTGTTTATTGATTTACCTCCAACGTTTAGTGAACACAGGCTACGACAGGCAGTGTGCTAGCTGCTGGGGACTCAGCGAGAGCAAGAAGGCCAGGCCTCGTGGGGTGTGTGCCTACTGCAATTTTCCCTGTCGTTTGTTCTTTTCTCTCCTTTTCTGTGATATTTGAAAAAATTTTTGTAGACATACACGAGTGGTCCCTTCATTTTGTTTCTTTTTTGCCCCTTAATCAAACTGTTCTTATCTTTAGTACATGGATTATAAACATCGCCTCTGCCTAAGGGAAACTAAGTCAGCTCAGTTACTTGCATTGGATGATGTTGTGTGTGTGTGTGCGTACGTACACACAGTTGTGTTGTGTAGTGTATGCACAGAAGCACTGGCATCTGGAGCACATTTGCGTCTGGAGATTCCTCAGCGATGCCCCCTTTTACTCCTGTGACTGAGAAGGGTCTTGGAGAACCCAGGCTTGGCTAAACCAGTTGTCTCTTTGCCCCTGGACAACACTCAGCCAATGAATGGAGATTTTTGAGGGCCTTATATGTGCAGGAAACTGAGCTAGATGCTCTCCGGTGGGGGAGAGTTCTCGGGTACCAAGACAGCAGGAAGAGAAAGGTCCAGCCTCGCCCTTGGGAAGCCCACCTGGCACAGGCAGAAGGAGTAAGCCATAGAAGGTGCCGTGGTGACGCCAGTAAGGACTTTGGAAGAGGAAAGCTTGGAGCACACAGTTCTTGGGGCACTGCTGGCATCGGCACACGTTACCCTGATAGGCAGTACTGTGGCTCCATCCCTCCCACAGCTCTGGCGGGCACCCTTCCGCTCCCAGCTGTGCATCTCCATAAAAGAGGTGCTGATGGGCCCTTGTCCTGGCACATTGCAGAGCTCACCCAGGCGGCAGGAACTAGGTTTTTCTTGTTGAAAGAAGAGGACAATTTCACTTACTCTCTGCTTGCAACCATTACACGTTTCTATTTGTATTTCCTTCCCCAGGCCCAGAGCTCACCGCAGGCATTGTTTCTAGCTCCTACCACAAGGGAATTTGGTGTAGCTGCATCTTCTAACCAGACACACAAGCCTGTTTTCTTGTTTTCAAAGTCTAGGGATTTCTTTGTGGATCTGATCTACTACTCTCTGAGGTAGTGGTTTTCAAATTCTTGGGTTTTTTGTTTTTGATTTTTTTTTTTTACTGTGATTTTCATTAAGAAATACATATTGTGTCACCACATGTAGCTGACACAAAAATTTCCCAAAACATTACTTACCCTTGCCAAATGTAGTGCCCTTGGATATTTTATATTCTACTTAATTTTATTTAAAGTGGGTTTATCATTCACCAAATTCATGGGATAATAATGGCTCGTATGTAACCCCCAGTTTGAAAATACTCTTCTAAGGCCAGTTCTGCTTTAATCCACATGTTTGGTCTAGCACCTCCTTGTGGATTGTTGGACAGCAGCAAACACTTCAGCTATGGTATGAACACACTGCCATCCCCAAAATATTTGAATTTATGGGCCTATGCTTTTCCCAACAGGAACATTTGCTGATTGTGGCTAAAAACTAAAATGGAGCACCTTCCCTCCTCTAGGACATGTCGTTTTAGGACATTTTAGTAGCAAAAATCAAAGAACAAAAATTTACAAATAAGTGATAGAGCTTGCCTCTGGCTTTTGACCAGTGCTTGCCCCCTTGTTTTCACAGCTGCTAAGAGATCACATAATAAATAGGTGCCAATTAAACTAACACATGAGTAAAGAGCCCACAGCTGTGCCTGATAGAGTGCCCGAGGGCTGTTATTGCCCCACTGCCTCACAGCCCATGAGGATTTCTTGATGCATTGAAAGGACTCCAAGTTTTCTTGTACTTAAGAGGAAATTTAAGAATGCCTCCCAATGGTTAAAAGTGTTTTTAAGTCATTTTTCTAAATGTAAAAAAGGTTAGGTTGGTGTGTGTGCCAGCCCACTGTGGCCTGGTGACCGTACAGCGAAGCAGTGAAGAGACAGAAGCGAATGCATGGCTTGTAGAGCTGGGCTGTTTCCGCCCATTTCCCATCGTGGCGCCCACCCCACCTCCAACTGGCCGAAGCAAGAGTGGAGACCTGTGAATGCTCATGCAGTCCAACTAGGTTTGGAGACTCTCAGTAGCAGGACAGCAGCTTTGGGCCTCTTGGAGAGTGTGTGGGCAGTTTGGTGAAGATCAGTGTCAGGTGCTCAGGAGTATCTGTGCCCAAACGGCCTCAGCAGACCTCGCCTCAGGGGTGTTTTCCTCTTCCTTCTCTGTGTGCTGCTCTCTGCCAGGCTCTGCGGCCAGCCAGCTGGGCTAGCTGCATCCGTGCCCGCTCACCCCTGGTGTGACCTGAGACCTCTGTGTTGCTCTGCAGCTGAGCCTTTGTCATGGCTACATCAGCGGTCACCCATAAGCCACATTTTTTCTGAGCACATAAGAAAGGAGACCTTAATATCAGGGACTGAGGAACAAAGGGCCGCCTGCTTAATCTTCACTTTATACTTGCGATAACCAGGCTAGAACTGTGATTTTAAACATATAAAAGACACGTCAGCAGATCAAGATCTGAGGTTGGATAATATCAATAGAAACCAGCTCCAGATCCCAAAAGTCAGGCTCTCGGCCATGCTGCCATGAGGGTGGCCAAATGCAAGGGCATTTAAATATATTTGTTCTCATTAACCAAAGGCATTTGTTCCTTGGTATTTGTGGGGAAAATTGAAATTCACCCTCAAGGGCACTTGGTCACCCCGGTTCTAAATTTCGGGTCTGCCTGTCCAGTTTAGACTCACCTGGGCCAGCATTCCCACTGAGTGTGCCCAGAGGAAACCACTGATTGTGTCGAACAAGCTCCGTGACTCACCTCTGGCTGGCATCTCTCAACCGAACATGCAGACAATAGATGCGTGGTGTGCACTTCAGGCCAACATCACTCCCAGCCACCCACGCTTTGCAGGGGAGGCGGGAAGGGGGGGACAACAGAAACGAGCCTCTCTGTACCGTAGGGACCAGAGCCCCCAGTGGCGCTGCTGACACGGTGGGGACCCATTTCACAGTGCGATGAGATGGCGCATTTGGAAGTGGCTTCATCGTTTACAGTTGTTACAAAGTAGCTTTGCGCCTCTCTTGGCTTTTAATTCTAGAGCTTACAGCTGAGAAGCTGAGACCACGTTCAGGGATGCACCCAAGTCCTCACAGCTTTGGCCAATCTGAGATGCTAGCCCAGCACCCTGGATTTCCAGCCCCACTCGCCCCCCAGCAGACCAATCCCCAACAGCAGCAATTTCTGGGCACCCGCCGACCGGGGAGGCCATACAAAGAGCGCTGTGTGGGCCTGGTCTTTTGGTGCCCTTGTCTGGAAACTGCTACCCATCTTTGACCCATCCGCCTCGAGAAATCTTCTGCCTAAATGTTAATATTTATCATTTACAGCTGGCCACTGCCCCCTTTCAAAGGTGAGCACAGTAAAATTTATGACAGGCGCACTATCAGACAACAGAAGAGTATAAAAGGAGAAAGAGGGACAGGCCATCCACCTGCAGAGCCAGTTCATCCGAGGCCAGCGACACCTGGAGGATTTTGGCATGGGGCTGCTGCCACACGGTTTCCTCCTGCGGCTGCTGCTGCTGCTGCTGCTGGGGCAAGGTGAGTCTGCCCGCGGGTCCGCCTGCCTATGTCGCTTAGACATGGAGCTTGGGAGAGGAGCGTGTCCTTTGCGTGAGCACAAACTGCAGAGTTCCGGCCCGAGCAGGCTGGCATACTGCAGCCAAGTGCCCGAGGCTGTGGCGCCAGAGGCAGGTCTTGGGATGGGTGAGGAGGGACGGGCAGCAGCTCCCTGGTGGGGAATAAAAGCTGTGAGAGTAGGCAGCCACCAAGACCTGGATCCCAGCTCCCTGTGCCGTGTGGCCCCAGGGCAAATGCTCCCTCCCGGAACCTGGATTTTTTTTCTCATCCTTAACATGGAAATACCACTGCTAATGGTAAGCATGTTTTGATCATTCTATTTATGGTTTTTGCTTTTGCTAAAAGGACAGAGGAAGGCAGGTTTCAGGATGATACATTCTGAAGGATTGCCCACCTTCTTTCGTGCTATTGAACTTGGTGTTACCAAGTGGGCTCCCGGGCCAGGCTTTGGGCTTCTCCCGACACACGGATTAGAAGGTGATGCCTCTGCCATAGTCCCTCCCTGCCCTTCTTCATCTGACCCCGGCCTGGCTCTCCTCTCCTCCCTTTGTTTAGAAAGGCAGAATCCCTTAAACTGAGGAGAGCCTTAAAGGTGTTTTAGCCCCTCCAGAGGAGAGGCCTGGGCCCAGGGTGGGAGACAACCTGTGTCGGGGGCCACAGCGGGGAAAGGAGGGGGTCTGGGGCCGAAGCCTGGGCCTGGCGGCGTCCAAGTGCCAGCTCTGCTGCTCACCCCGGGCGGGTCTTCCCTGCCCGCCCCCGCCCCGAGTCTGGTGTGCAAGGCGGGCGGGGTGTGAGGTGGCGCATGATGAGACGCGCTATACTTATTGCACAGGGTGATTGCATCCTCGTAATTGCTAATGAGGCTGAGGTGCTTTTTAAAAATTGTTTATTGACCCCTTGAATTCCTCTTTCATGAAGTACCTGTTCAAACGTGTTTCCCATTTTTCTGAGTTTGTTCTTTTTTCATCGATTTTTAGGAGTTTTTCATACATGCCGCGTGCTTGCTCCTTGTTGGTTATACATAGGGCAGATATCGTATACTCTGATGCTTGTCTTTCCACTCTCTTTAGGGAGATGTTAGATGAGCCAGTTCCTTAATGTGGGGGGCGGCGGGGGGAATGAAGACCACCCAAATGAGAACAAATGGAGGCTATTTACTCAGTTTGCTATAGCAACGGGTCCACCGCTATCACGTGTGCTGGGCAGGGACCCTGAGGCAGGGGAGTGGGAACACTGAGGGGAAGCTTCAGGTCTGCCCTTCTTGGAGGCGGTTGCCAGGGGGAAGCTGGAGGTTCCGTAACCAGAAACGAGCTCTCTTACGTGATTTGTGTGGGGAACGTACCTGGCTTTCTCTGGTTGGTCCTGAGTCGGAAGCAGGGACAAACGTGGGGAAGCTGCAGCCACCGACCAAGTCCTCACCGCCTGGGCTGATGGCTACGGGCATGGTGCCCGGGCTTCCTGGGCCACCTGCTGCAGGTGTGGGGGGGGCTAGGGTCCTGCTGTCACCTGCGGTCTGCCCGTGGTCTGTTTGTAGGTTCAGTCTCTCCATCTCCAAAGCTTTTAATCTTTTCCTTAATGGCTTGTGCTCTTCGCGTCTTATGTGAGAACTCCTCTCCTGCTTTTCAGGCATGAAGATGTTATTCTAAAAATTTGGCAAATTCGATTTTCTTTTTGGGGTCTTTAATACATCTGGGATTGACTTTTGTGACTAGTGTGCTTAGGTTTTTAATGTCTCTCCAAGTTTTATTGTTTCCTCTGTCGAGGTCTTGCATGTGTTTCATTATTCTTAGGGACACGATTTTTGTTGTATGGTAAATGGGTTTAAAAATTTTTTTTGAAAATATTTGTTATTGATATCTAGAAATAAAATTGATTTTTAATGTATTAATTTTGAACCCATTTAAACCTTATTAATATTTTTGTCTTTGGTTTTATTTTTTTTAAGTTTTTAAATTTTTTATTTCTTTATTGTTCAAATATTTTTGTCTCCATTTCCCCCCACAACAATTCTTATAAATTTTAATAAATTATGTGTATATTCTTTTGGAAAGTCCATGTACACAATCCTGCCAGTAATAACAGTTTGGTGCTCTCCTTTCAAACTGTATACCTTTGCTTGCTTTTGCCTTACTGTGCTGGCTGGTGCTTCCATGGCAATGTTTCACAAAAGTGATGAGTGGAGATACTCTTAGCTTATTCCCAAGTTCAAAAAAAAAAAAAAAGAAAAAGAAAAGAAAGTGAAAGTGTTTAATGTTTGATCAGAAACTATGGTGTCTGCTACTGGAATTTCTATAGCTACCCTTTATAAAACTAAGAAAGTCCTATTTTATTCCCAATTTTTATGAGTTTTTTTTTTTAATCATAAGTGGACATTGAATTTTATCTAATACTTTTCTGCACTTATTAAGATGATTGTATGATTTACTTCTTTAGTCTGCTAATGAGGTGAATTAAGTTAGTTGACTTCTTATTTTATTTCTTTCAGTCATTATTAGATTAACAAAAGATCACACATTGCATTTACTTGTCCTGCCTCTTTAATCTCTTTTAATCTAGAACAGTACTTTCGCCTTTTTGTTTTTGTTTTGTGTCATTAAAGCTTTTAGGCTAGCTTTTGTCTTGTGCACTTCAATCTGGATTTGTCCAAATAGTTTCTCTATTGCTAGAATCAGATTAAACTCCTAGGATGGAAATGCCGCATAGACAATGTTGCGTCCTAGCTGTGACACATTGGGGGCTATACCTGACGTTGGAAATACCCTAACTGGTGATGTTAAATTTGGTAATTTGGTTTTGGTCGCGTCTGCCAAATTTCTCCCTTGTAAGGTATCTTCCCTCATGTGATTTATAAGTTATCTGTAGAGAGATGCTGTGATATCTTGTGACTGTTCTTATACTCAACAGCTTTTAGCATCCACTGATGGTTCTTGTCTGAATTGATTATTACCATAATGAATGTCAAATGGTGATTTTTTAAAAAAGATTTTATTTATTTATTTTTAGAGAGAGGAGAAGGGAGGGAGAGAGGGAGAGAAACATCAATGTGTGGTTGCCTCTCACGTGCCCTCTATTGGGGACCCGGTCTGCAACCCAGGCATGTGCCCTGCCTGGGAATCAAACCAACGGCCCTTTGGTTTGCCGGCTAGTGATCAGTCCACTGAGCCACACCAGCCAGGGCTCAAATGGTGATTTTAAAATGTCTACCACCCCTTCTAATATTGTTTGGTGGAATTCCTCCATAAAAAAAAAGAAAAAAGATTTCTCTCCTCTTCCTCACTCTTTGTACATTTTGTCTTTTTAATATAAAATGGATTCACAAATTCTTTTCTTAATCAGTGTGTTATAATTCAATCCTGTTATTTATTTTAATGCTCAAGCTATTACGAATTTGGCCAATGAGAGCTTCCTTAAGCTAACTACTATGTCCCCACCAATTTTTAAACACTTCTTAATTTTATGGGGCAAGCTGTTTCAGGCTAATCTTGTTTTTGTTTTTGTTTTTGTTTTTTCCCCCCTATCCCAGCCATGCAATTAGCCATTTCTTCAATTGGTGGGGGATTTTATTTAGAAACCAAGAGCTGGGTGCTTGGGATGTTCATTGCTGCTACAGTGTCATTGTGTCTAAGCCCTTTCCGTGGACAGAGCTAAAAAATACAGTTTTCTTTTTTATTTTAATGTATTTATACAGACATGTCTAATTTTAGTTAGAACTAGTCTTGTGTCTCCTTCCCCATTCCAGATTTGTATTGCCTTCCCACGGTGCAAACCAGGGTTATAATATATCAATATGTGTATTCATTTGCTAAATCCTATGATATATACACTATAATATTGGAATCATTACAGCACTAACACCACCACCAACAAATGAAGTTCAAAATTTCTTTGCTGTTCTTCGTCCTTAGATGAGATCCACTCAGGGTGTATAATGAAAATACTTTGTTCAAAAATCAATGGATTAATTTTTTGGGGGGGTGGTGGTTTCCTTTTGGGGTTATGTTCTCTGTTTGACATGTAATTAAGTTTGTCTGTTTGTATTCAGTTATAAGGCTTCTTCTGTTCTTGTTTATTTTACTTTATTTTTGAATATATAACATATTGACATGGTTAAAAAATCAAAACTGTGTGAAAAGCTATAGTACTCAGAGACATCCTACCTCTTCCTCCTTAGCCTTTTCATTCCATGTCTACCCACCTCTGTAGGTAACCAGTTTCAGTATTTTCATATGCTTTCAATGTTTCTTTTTACAAATGTATATTCTTTTTTTTCTTTTTGCATAAAGATAACCTACTATATACTTTTACTGCATCTTGATTTTTTTCATTCAACAGTATATCCTGAAGTGTTTATTTGGTTTCTTTACTTTATATTCCATGTCTCTTAGCTTTTCTTCCAACTTTAGCATCTTTTTGTCTTTCTATGCTGCATTCTAAGCAATTTCTTATGACACATGTTCTAGTTTATTTGTTCTTTCAGTTGTATCCAATTTGCTGTTAAACCTGAAGATTTGAGATCATTGAAGATTTTGAAAACTGACTTTATTTTTCAAATTAATTTACATTTAGTTATTTGCCAAATTTGTAAATGTTGCTTTTTTTGTTGTTGTTTTTTAATCCTCAACCGAAGATATGGTTAGAGAGGGAAAGGGAGGGAGAGAGAGAGGGAGAGAAACATTGACGTGAGAGAGAAACACCGATCCGGTTGCCTTCTCATATGCACCCTGACTGAGGATCAAACCTGTGACCCAGACATGTGCCCCAAATGGGAACTGAACCTGCAGCCCTCTGGTTTACAAGATGATGCTCCAACCAACTGAGACACAGTTGCCAGGACCAGGTGTTGCTTTTCAAAATGATTTTGTGTTCCTAGATCTTCAAGTTTATCTTTTTTTAAAACAGTTTTATAATTTTTGTCTGATAATTTCAGTACCCAAAGTCTTTGATCTATTTCTGCTCTATTT